CGCCTATGCGATGAAGTTCGAGACTGTAGCTGATGGAAAAGGGCGGTAGCGGCGGCAGATGGGGCTACAAGAGGTGAAAGAAGGCGAGGAAGGCGGCAACGGTGTTGCCCAACCGCAGCCGACGGCAGAGGCGGTGGCTAACTAGCGGTGATGTTGCCTAACAACAATTTACATTAAGCTTCAAATTGAAAATTTCAAATTCAGAGAAAATGGACTAAATATTGAATTTCAAATGCAATGCAATTTTACATTAAATTCCAATTCCTTCCAAACAAACAACTAAATTTCCAAAATGCAGAGAATTAGAATGCAATGCACCATAAATGGTACTATCTAAACACCCCCTTAGTGTTATCACTTATTTGGTTACAGTGTTTAAACTATTTTGGATTGCATATTGTTGTTATAAGAAAATTAAAAATATAAAAATTATGAAGTGTATTATTTTCTATGAGTACTAAATTTTATTGTGTTTACTGTTGCGGATTAGTTTTTTGTAAATTTAAGAATTTCATTCTGATTTTTAATTTAAGGTCGCTATCTAGTCTTAGGTTGTATGCGTTCAATTGTGTGAGCTTATTCCATTTGACCGTGAAATGGAAAAAATCACTAAAAATTATAAATCTCACAAAAAAAAAAAAAAAAAACTTTAAGAGAAATGACAAGCTTGCAAGAAGAAAATATTCAACTAAGACCCCTTTGGGAGTTTTTCTCCCCTATGTAGATGAAATACATCAGGTATCAATAACCCTACCATGCAAACCAATACCATTGAATTCAAACCTGCAATAGTACAAATGGTTCAAAACAATCAATTTTGTGGACCACAGCGGAATACCTGAATTTACATATAGCTACTTCACTAGAGTTATGTGCGACCTTTCGATATAACAGTATCTCTGATAATGTTGTTAAACCTATGTTGTCTCCCTTTTTCATTAGAGATAAGACTAAGGTGTGGTTAAATTCATTTTCGTCAGAGCCTATTACAGCTTGAAAACATCTTGCACATAGATTCTTAGCTAAATATATTCCTCCTTAAGAAACAGTCAAACATGGGAATAACATAATTTTTTTTACCCAAATGGATACTGAGTCGATATATGAAGTCTGAGAGAAGTTTACACAAATATCGAAGTAAAACATAAGAAAAGTTTAGCATAAAAGATTTCTCACTTCTTTTCTCCAACTTAATAACATCCATAGATCTAAATAAGAAGATAAAGAATAATTAGAAGCTCCCAACACTCTCATCACCAATCTTCATTGAAATCATCATCATTACATCTTCTTCGATTAGTCTAAGTTTTCTCATTTTTTTTCTTCTTCAACATCAATGAGCTTTCCTTTCCCTATTCAGTAATAAATGATAATCAATAAAAATAGCTGAAAAATTTGCATTGAAGAAAATGTTAAACAAACATTTTAAAATATCTTTGCTTATTATTTCTTATTATCTAGTGCGGATGTGCTACTCTTGCTCTTATATCCATCAAAGAAATCAAAATTCAAAGTTCTTGTTGTAACTCAGAAGACATGACCACATTATCCTCATCATCATTGATGGCATATCTTAAATAATAAAGGATTTTTGTCATCCTTCAAACCTCTTCACTTTAAACTTTTATTCTTTAATATCTTATTATATAATATACACCAAGAAATTCATCCTTAAGGTCGTTATACAATTTCTCTTTTTTTATGTGAACTTTATTATACATGCTCCAATTACGCTTGCATCCAAATGACGGGCATATAAGTTCTAGTACTTTAATAACAAAATATTATAGCTCCGGAGTGCCATCACCAAATTGGATCCACCATTCAACTACATTTGAGAAAAAAATTATGTAATTAGAAACTAAAAAATCAGTGCTTAAATATTCAACCCTTGTTTCAATAATAAACATTTTATCCGGAAAACATTTTCAGTCGCGTCTTTTGCTTGTTGTAGCTCAAAGAAATATTACTTGTCCTAAAGGAAACAAATTGCATATCAACACTTGCTCTCTCATTTGGTTCAACAATCAACCTAAATATATATTGATATAACAACAAGTTGATCTCAGGAATAGTAGATTTGTTCTCAACATATTAAAATTGATGGTTGAAAAAATATCCAGATGCATACATATGGCGGAAGAGTTGAAGCTACCAGTTTTTATCAATGATAACTCAAATATGTTTAAAAGTATTTTTCTCTTAAATTAGAGATTTTTAGCCCCTCTGTCTCATCCATTGCATTAAATAAAAAATATAATTGGTTGTTATTGCATATGTGACACGAGATCAAAACCTTTCACTTATTTATTTTATTTTATTTTTTTGACTTTTTCCCTCAATTTTTTTCTCATGCACGGCTACGCCAATTAGTGGAAGTGAATATTATCTCCAATAATTACCTAACTTCCAACACACATTGTAGAACAAAAAAGTTGCAGCAAAATCTTAATAAAATAGTTCAATATTAAGAATAATGTATTGGTAAAGTACACATATGAAGTAACAAAGAACAACTAAAGTAAATAAATTATAAGCGAATGTGTCTGAGTTGTTTAGGTTAGAATTAATATGAAAGATGGACAAAAATATGGTAGAAGTCCAATATGTTACTATACACCAAAGGACTAGTTCGATCTAAGGAAAGAGCAATCGATTATGTTGAGAAAATGGATAAATATGTTTTTATTTAAGAATAGTTCTTTTCATTTCTAAAATAAGTTACAAATGTTTTCACTATCTTTAGTGTTTTCTTTTAACCTGTAAATATTATATTTTCATACGGTGAAATTGATTAAAGCAAATGTTTAAAAAAATAATAAAATATGAATATGCATATGGTACTGGCTGGGGCAGCAACGTACTTGTGCACAAAAAATAGAAATATAAATGAAATGAAAATGATTGCATATCTTTTTGATGGGTTTTGAAAAATATTATGAAATGTGTACTTTTAATGCACATTTCGATGACAACTTCCATGATGAATGTTTTATATAAAATAAATAAAAATAACAAGAGCTGATTTTTTTAGTCTCATTTTTACCGCTTACTTTTTTATAAAATGTATATTTTAAAATATGAATTATTATAATTTAGAGATACTTTATCCGCTGAATTCAACGCATACCACAAGTTGCTGAAATTTTTCAGGAAAATCTTCTTTACAGGCGTCGAGGAGCTGCTGGAGATAGGTACAGCCTTTCAATTTTTACTTTTCTACCAGTTGTAAATTTTAATAATGAATGCATATTTGTAAATTAAAGTTGAGAAATCGACTAAATCTTTTATATTTTGAATGATTTTGTTTAAGAAATGAAAATGTTTAAATAGGATTTGCTTCGTCCGGCCGTTCGTTACTACCTCGGTATTCCAAACTTCTGAGTCGGGTTGTGACACAACAAAACAAAAACAAAAGCATAAATAATGGGTGATGGAAGAAATATTGGAGTGGATTATATCATGATAAATTATTAAAGTAATAAAGATCATTTTTACAATTATAAAGTTTCAAAAAAAAAAACAATAATAGGCAATGAAACTTAAATCAAAGAAAATATACTTAGAAAGGACACAGTCAGTACCTCTTAATTACCCTACAGTATCGTCACCGCAGTAGAGTTTAACCACCAAGTTCGGGATGGATTGATGCGGTTCCTCTACGCCTGGGACATCAGAATATCGAACCATGAACGAAGAAAGGCAAGCAAACACAATCATTTAAGGAAGAGAAGCCAGATTGTTGAAGCTTCCAGCATCTGAATTGCATAAGCAGCAATTTACATGTTTGTCCATGCTGTGTGGGTGTCCAAGATTAGATTTCTCTTTAAAAAAAAAACAAATAAATGTATATTTTATTAAAGAACAAACCTTCTTAACTGGAATAATGATTTCATGCTTTCAGCATGATACCAGAAATAGAAATATAAATATAGAAGATATCATCATAAGCTAATTATTCAAACAAATACATAAAAGTAGTCATTGTAAAACGTACATTATCTGCAAAAATAATCATCTATCATCCTCATTCCTAGTGATAAGAAGAAAAAAAAAAAAAAGAAGAAGCTATTTTCTTCTGTTCACGCCAACTAAAAAAATAAATAATACTGCTTCATCATGAACAAAAGATGTAAGAATAGAAATAATTTGTTCAGAAGAAAGGTGTAGGTAGAGTAGATATTTGCCAGTGAAGTGTGCATGTTGGAAATGAGAACTATTGGCAAATATCTACTCTACCTTGCAGTCCCTCATTGCGGAGATTCATCTGTATTCTCCGACAAAGGTCGATGCAAAATAGAAGCAAACAAAGGTAATTGTATTTCACACTGTGGACTAAGCATAATACAAGGGCAAAAAGAACAAGAACAAAGATGTTAACACCAGATAGATTACCCCAATCAACATTATATTAGCCAAAAAATCTGCCTCTAGCATCAATATGCACGTTATAGGGAAATCAATCATTTTCCATTCTCTACATACTGCATCCTTGAACAGACATCAATCATTTTCCATTCTCTACATACTGCATCATTGAACAGACAAATGACACCAATGAATGAAATCTTAGACTAAGTTTCTATAATTTAGCATAAGGTCAATCTTATCTGATGTTGCATCAATACTTTCAGCATATTACAAGTGTTCACCACATGCTGAAAGCATATGTCAACAAAATAAAACCTAAGCCTACTAGCACAAAAGGCATAACCAAGTTAAAGGAGGAACAAGTGTTTGTAATTATATCTGCTGAGGGGTAATCCATGAAGTTCACTTAACAATCATCGCCAAGAACACATGGTGATGTTGAAATGAGATTTAAAAAAAATTAACCAACACAATAGGACCAGTCGCTAAACATACTATAAGCAAATGCAGAAATTTTGTTGGAAGTCCAAATTGCGATTAAAGTAGCATTGATACGCATGTGTTTGTGATCATTTCTATCAAACATTTATTTACAAAATTAAGATTACAGCGGGAAACAAGGTCTCATAGTCCAATTCAACAGCCATCTCTAGAAGTGGACAAAAAAGTCGAGCAATCAAAAACCTAACACAACATAACAGCAATGCACATGGCAACACATGGTTCTTGATAATGAAGATGCGACTAATATACCCATCTTCTGTAACAAGAAGCTACTTGTGATTACATAACATGTCTTTGACTAGATATGGTCCAATTATGGACATTCTGCTACTGACGAATCAAATACATTATGCTGATGAATATTTGTGGCTCAAAAGAACTTCCCATAATCCTGAGATGGCTGGTCCCAAACCCCCATAAATCCTACATAACAAACAATAAGATGATCAGAGTAGTGTAACCAGAATGAGTAGCAAAGGAGTACTGGAAAAAAAAAAGCATTAGCTTGAGACGTGGAATGGCACAATTTTTATGGTGGTTCTCAATAAATCACTATGCCTTTTCCCAAGCAAGCAACCAAAAAATAATAATAATATAATGTGAAAGTTAAATATTAACCAATGGTTGGTTAGCATGAGATTACAAAAACAGAAATTGGTGCAGAAAAAAATTAATAGTGGTAACTTCAAAAAATATTAACATTGAATGCAATTTTCATTATACCTATTGGCAATTCGTCAAGGGAGACATAAATGTGGTCATCTACGCCAGGATAACCCTGAAGAAAGGAGAGAACCATAAGCCTATCGATTATTTATACAACATTTATAAATACAAAAATTCTGCAAGTTTAAATTTTCAAACACTACAATAAAAAATTATAACGCCGCAAAGGATAAAATATTAAGTCATTGAGATGCTAACAGCAACATAAGAGTGCACGATGAGATAATTGTACCTCAGCGCCGTGAAGACCCATCCCAGGCTGCATATCATTGAGGTCTCCTTGAGCAGATGCACAACCAGACATATCAGTACCCAGAAATTCAGAAAACTCAAGACTGTAACCATCCTGAATGCCAGGAATATCATCTGCATGTGTCGTCTGATTTAAGACATTTTCAAGTCCTGGAAATGAAATATCACCCCTGCATACGAGTACAGTCAGTGTTAGTTCGCAGAAAAACAGAAAGGTTATCTGCTTGTGGATGTTCTGATATTGCACAAACAAACCAGAATATAATATGAAATGTTCGCAATGCATGTAAGTAAACTTACTTGTGCTTAGAAGAATCAAAGGCATTGATCTCTGCATGAGAGTCCTCCTCAAGGTCTATTACTGGAATTACTTTGTTAGGGCCAGAGACTTGGTTATTGTCACGGGCATTAACAGCATTTCTCATTGAGATGCTTAAATCTGCTGAGATTCCTTTTTCAGTTATAGGGACAGCAGGATGGTCCATGGAAGGACCTCCAGGAATCTCACTCAGCTCAGGACTTCCAGTAAGATTGAGATCACATATTTTAAATGATGCAGCAGTTTCAGGCCGAATCTCTTCTTCTTCTAACATCACAACAGATTCTCTATTACCCTTTGGAGTAAAAGCCGTAGAATCCAAACCATTTCCATCAGATTCTGGATCCATTTCTTCATCCCGGGCACCTTTCCCATCAAGAAATGTGGATTCCGTGTGCTCAATCGTGTCAGGTGCCAGGGATGAAGCAGAGTTATCATTTTGCTTGCTCTCATCACAATCATCCTGAAAACCTGTATCATGTTTCCCATTAAATTCAGTACAAATTGCTGGATCAGGTGGGCTCTGAAACAGCTCATTTTGTGAGTCTGCAACTTCTTCCAATGATATATCAGATTGATGACTGTGATTCTCAGAAGTCTGCACTTCCGAATGTCCAATGTTATCACCATTCAACTCCTTGCACCCTTCCTCCCCAGCATTACCTATGGCATCACTCATCTCTGCATCAGGGTCATGTTGAATCTTTGGACTCTTATTTGCAAGTGATGATCGTGGTTTGGTGGGCACTTTTGTAAAGCTGCATAGTTTCAACAGATCCTTGCAGTCCTTCATTGCAGCATCACCTTCCTCTTCACAAGGCTTGGCATCGATATCTTCCTCCATGGACTCTTTCTTCTTTGGCTCATCAATTCTTTCACTCTTCACCTCCTCCGTTATTTCTGAGCTCGAAACCCTGACTTCATCGACACCCTTGCTTGAGCCCTCATCAGCATCGGGCTGCGCATCCTTCTTAGTACTAGATGAACTTACCTTCGACCAATTATCATCAGCCAACTCATAATTCTCCTTCTCCGAAACCGACTCACTCCTTGTCGGTTGCTCATCAGCAGAAACTCTAGACACGCTACTCCTGATCACAGTATAAACTTTCCTCTTAGTCCTCATGACATCAGAGGGGAACTCATCATCCTTATCAGCAAGATCGGAGTAGCTTCTTCCCCTCTCCGTCCAATTTCTAGATTTACCATTCTCTCTACTCCAATCAGAGTCGTACACTCTGCTATAAGGCCCGACTCTCTTCCTCGACTTCTCCCGCCTCCTGTAATCAAACCGCCCCTCATCATCGAACCTTTGACCAAGCCGCGCCAGTGCAGAAGTCCTCACCTCCGGCGGCGGCGGGATTTCTCTGGCCTGGCGCTCGAATCCAGGAGGGCTTCCGTTGGGGAACTTTCTTAAAAGATGTTCCGGCGGTATGACACCCCTCGAGACAAGATACTCGGCAGCGAGACGGCCGGCTTCCATGAGGATGTCGACCTTGCGAGGAAAAGTGTAAGGGTTTGAGGGAACGCGGTCAATATCTCTGCCATATGAGGAGATCCGCCCACCGGAGGTCGCCGACGGGCCAGGCCGGAATCCGTCCCTGGGGCTACGATATCTGGACTGCATCTTGCTTAAATCTCACTTTAAGCTCCTTTGAATCGCTCTCCCTCTCTGTCCCCTGTCTGCAAGTGGAGATGGCGATTATGGATGTAGCCTGCTCATTCAATATCGGTAATTGTTCTTGGAGACCCTAATGCGAGGTGGGAGGAGCTTTTATAGTTCGGTGGAGATCGCCGCTTAACTGTAGCCGGGGAAAATGGGCCAGAAGACGAACAACGCCCCCTGCATTTTTTTCTTATATTCTCATAACAAAATGAATAAAATATAAAACAACTATTCTTTGGGCACAGTTCCTACTAAATGACAGAAAATATAATTTATAATTTTTAAAAAGCAAAGTTTATTATATTTAGCTATTTTGTTGAACATATATTAATTTTACATTTTAAAAATATCTCGGCCTATTAGTTGAGAGAAGTCTTTCAACTAAGAGATTGGGTTGATATCTTGTATATGTGTTGTGTACGTATTTACAATTAAATTCGCTCAAATGTCTAAAACAGTAAGGATTATAGGTTACAGCCAATATTTATCTTGAAATTTTGCAGCCTTATTAAATCCTCTGTCAAAATACAGACAAAGACCTTCAGGTGAACTCAATTTATCCCGAACTAGTAATTGCATTTGAGAAAGTGAAACAATCATGCGAGAATTAAGGCGGCAAATGAAGTCAAGTCAATTGCAAGAAAAAAGGCTCACAACCTTTAACAGTTTCGACAAGGCCATTAGAGAGAATTTGGTGAAAAAGAAGAGGAGAAATACGTCTTTACCTCTCTTCTTTCTTGCACTACCATCTTCTTCTTTCTACTCGGAGAAGTGAGGTGACTTTCTACAATTGATTTTAATATTTGTAATCCTTGCATTTATAGAAATGAAGTGGAGTGAGACATGGAGGACTGCTTTTGAATTGAATGGGATGATTTTTTAGCCACATTTCTTAACATAATTTTATTCTTTCGCATGTGAAAATTCTTAAATTTCCTTATATATATTATATATAATACTTAACAAAATGTTGATACTTTCCTCCTTATACAAGTCACTTGATAAGAAATTATTAGGTTTGCACTTCAATTATAATATGTAAATAAAAAATAAAGATATATTGTTTTGGTTGTAATGAAGAATGACTTCTCTATTCATGTCAATTCGCCGTTAAATAATTCATCGGTGGACTTAATGCAATCTGTTAATGAGCCTTCTTATATAACTCAATATAGTTAGCATGTTTATATATACACATATCACATCACTCTTGACTTTTTGGGCAAAATATTACATACAGATAATGTAGACGTGGATTGGTGGTATTGTAGTTATAATACGACCACAATACCACTAAATACGCATCTAAATTATCCGTTCGTAATATTCCTTCAAGTACTAAATTCTAAATAAGTTTATACGTAGATACTTTAAACTTTATTTTATTTAAGTTGATTGATTAAAATAAGAAAGGTATTCAAACTTTTTTTTTTAAATTATATAATATGGATAATAATTTAATGAGACATTTAAAAAATCATAAAATAAAATAATGAAGATTATAAAGTTAACTGGCTTTGATGGCTTAAATTACTTCCCATACGGAATGTGAATTCTCCTATTACGCCAAGGTCTTCAAATCATCCGGTTGTGTTTTGTGCAAATATAAAAATCTTTAAGAAAAAGAGATTTTGAAAATTTAGCCTTACACATCTTTCATTTATATTTATTAATATAGTTTTTAATTTTTGTAATTGCTAATATTCTATTATTTTTATTTGAAAAACTATATCAAAATATTTTAATGCATGATTGATAAGCTTTACCAATAATTGTTTTAATAATTTTAAAAGTAATAAAATTTAAGTGAAAATCATGTGTTTCTATTTTTTAATTCACTACATAAAATAATTAATCTCACTTGATGAAATAAAATTAATTATTTGGTCTAATCTATAATAAATGATGATAAAAATATTTAATTTACTCAAAATAATATTTCTCCAATAGATCAAAACTATATATAATCTCAGAATAGTAATTTAGGGTCCATTTGGGGCGGCGGTGCAGCACCGCAGTTTTATTTATTTGAGTAAACTGTGTTTTGACAATTTTTTCAAAAAGCTACTGCTGAAATTTGCATTTTCTCACCACTCCTAGCTATATGTGGTGACAACTTTCTAACTATTGTTTGACTTTAACAAAAAAAATTATAATAGCCACCATAATTTTGAGCATCGGATTTTTATTCAACAGTTTCACAGCTGTTTTTTAATAAACTGCAGCTGCTTCAAACAGCTGCTTCAAACAGATTCTTAAGCTTGTTAAAAACAGTCATAATTAAACATATTTTTAACATTTCAATCTATTTGAATCAAATTAATTTATTTCTAAAAACATACTATCCATTTCTGTTTAAATTATTATTATTTTTTTACTTTTTTAATTTAAATATGCTTGGATCATCTTTACAATTTATATTCATGATAATATCCACTAAAGCTGATTTACTTTTAATACATTTTATAATGAAAAATTAATATGATCGTTCAGTAGCTTTATTAATACACCCATTAAATCATCCACAATCCTATATATATATATATATATATATAAAACAGAATCTAAAAACTCAGTTACCTAATACTAGCAAAAATTCAATGCAATTTTCCAAGAGACTGCTCTCACTATAAGCGCTCATCGGTTTGAAGGAGAAAGAAATGCAGTTTTGATCTGAGGAGTATAAAGCTTATCTTCTCCATGACAATTATATATCATTAACAGTTAAAAAAAGGCTAATTTCATTTCAGCTGTTAGAAAAGAATGGGCAAATGCTGCAGATGCTCTTCAAACTTAAAATATTTGAGCCATAAATAAGACATAAAACTCGGCAGGCATCACATCATGTAAATCTGATGGAATGCAGCTCTTAGAATCAAACAAATGGAACATGGCTGAATTCTATCACTTCTAGCCTTCTTCAAACAGAAAATGGCATTCTGCTGATCAGAAATGGCTAAGATTAGTAGAAAAAATATGGGATCTCACCCTCCTCTAACTCCATTTCCCCAAATAGAATCCTATCAGAAAGAAATGAATTCTCTCTTTTCTCTTCCAAATCAGCTAGTTTTTCTTTCAAGTCATTGTTTTCTTCATGTCCTCCTAAATTCCTTGGTACTTCTGCGTCAACTCTTCGTCTCTCTTCCATGTCATACCATCTTTCTTCTCTCAAGTCAACAGCGTCACCATACACACCATCTAAGCACAAAAAATCATCAGGATTCATCTCTCCAATTAGTTCAGAATAAGCATCCCTAAGTTCTTGCTGAAAATACAATCCTGGCTCTCCTGATTCGGGTGAGTTTATATCAAGTGCTCTGTGAGTTTTCCCATAGAGTTGATGATTGGAACCTCCAGCAGTTTCCTCTGGAATCTGTTTATCTGTGAAATGAATTGCCACATGATCTGTTTCTAATATTTCCTCTGGAACCAAAAGGTTAGAAGGTAGATTTGCAACTTCAGAACCCTTAATACAATCAGCTGCAGATTTCACGGAATCCATAAGATCTGTAACTCTGGTAGTCGAAGGTATATCACCTTCTTCAACCTCCTCCACCCTATATGAAGTCCTGTTGTGGCTTGGTAAGCCTTCAAAAATTGAAGGTTCTGTGTTTCTAAGGAAAGGAGTTATAGCTGCCTCAACTTCAAAGTCAATATTGTACGAAGGATGATAAACAAAGATTATGGGATGCTCGACGATCATAACCTTTGCCAATTGTGAGCCTAATGATGTTTTCATGTCCAATTTTCTGAACGGCGACTTTGAGTTCTGCATGAAGAATGGTAAGTTGGGTGAGGAAGCTTCTAGTATTTTTTATGAACTAAATGTTTTATGGTTCTCAGCAAAATACCTTTGGATTTTTCTGGAGGAAAAGCTTCAAATCATCCAATTCGACATCACAAAAAGACCTCAACTTATGATTCCAGGGGCCAGGTGCGAGGTGTTTTTCAAATATAGATAATAAGCTTGCATGCTCATCAACACTGAAAAAAAACATTAGATATCAAAATCTTAATGCTAGGATTTGTCTCAAAATGCTTCATCTACCAGGTAACATTAAGCCAACAAGGCAGTGATCCTGCGCTAAAAATGGCAGTCAGATGGAGCTTAGGAAAACGACCAAAATCCCAATAGAGCATATTTGGCATACAAACTTTCAGTTAAATAAACCGATTTTAAAATGTACCCATGCCGAACTAAAATTTCTGTTTTATAAGTTCCACATAGGCCAGACCACCATAAATGAAAAAAAAGGGGCATTTACATCCATACCACCCAATTCTTATATATTTACATATTTATCTAAACATAGTTATTAAATTTTTACAACCCAAATCTTTCATATCACATCAAAAATAACACCACTTCAAATTTTTAAAAGTAAAATACAGCTTTTCATGCATAAGTGAGGTGGCAGATAAGTAAAAATTGAAAGTTTTGGTATAAAATATCTAAATACATAAGAATTGAGTGGAATGTACGTAAATCTTCCCAGAATAATTACAGAAAATTAGGTTTCGCCAGGATCAAAGGGATTGGAGAAGTTGAGCAGTCCACATGGCCTTGTGGATGGGTGCTTTATCTACAATCACAAATCTTAAGTTCCAGATCAATCACATATCGGTGTGTTATGTAAAAAAAAAAAAAGTAATAAACAATTTCTGGTATTTGTAAAGAATATAATTTAAGCAAAGAGTTGCAGGTTGGGATAAACCCTGAGCTCACATTTTAGACGAAGTGTTATGTCCTATAATCGTATAGATCCCATTTTGGTCAAGGGAGGTCAGTACAATCAAGAACAGAATTGCCACTCTTATCTTACAGTGGCACAAGAAGAGGGGTACATGTGTATTTATACTAAATTCTTCGGTGATTTATAGAATGTAAAGTACAAATAATCAATATAAAAAAAAATTGATTGATGAAAACTCACCCGTGGTGAACCAGGACAACCCCCGTACCATGAAATATTAGTTCAATTGTCCAAAAAATAGTCTTTTTCCTGAAGAGTAAGAGATTAATACGTAAGCACAATATATAACATCAGAGTATGGTATCTCGAGTCTTAAGATCATGCAAGTAATAAATATGAGGATTATTTGCGAAGAAAAGACAAGTTTCAAATTTTTAAGTAAAAACAAAGAGTATAACTAATTTTACAAGCAAGGGCAACTAATCCTAAGCTTATGGGGTGTTTCTTTAAAGCCTGAGACCAAACTACAAGTTATACCATACAAATAATCCAAAATATAAAGGATACGAAGCGGAAATGAATAGCAAATCCTTCTTTTTTTCAACTGAAATTTATAGTGATATGCAAAATTGAATATAATAGGCAATGTATGCCTGTTCTAACGAACAGCTCACAATGTACCAAATCAAAAAAGGTGGGAGGTCCAACCGGCAAACCCATTACATAAAACTTATAACTACGTATGTCCCAAGCCCACATATAGGGCTTGGCGGTGTATCAAATGGGCAAAAACAAGAGAATGTTTAGCATTGTCGACTGATTGAGAACAAATCCAATCCATAACCTCAATGGCAGCATTATAGATATCATCCTGCAAAGTTAACTTTATGAACATTATTTTTAGTTGTATACAAAGAATATAACAGCATGAATCTGAAGGAAAACAAACGACTCGGGAGGAAGGAATGACCTATCAGACATGCCCAGTAACGAACGACGAATTGGATACTAGAGAAGAAAATGTCTGGATCAAGCAACCAGAAGGACATGCTAAGAGATTTCCCATAGGACGATGATCGGCTCTCGAGCCGATCGACAAATTACTCAACCTCATATTAAGTACCGACGAAGTCAAGGCGGGGCAAGCGGATGACAAACCTCTTACCGACCGAATCAATCCGTCATATATCTTTGTAATTACTAAAATGTCATTCTATAGGCTAATGATAAGAGGACTCATTTGTAATGTTATAAGACTGGGGCCTATTCCTATAAATAAGGGGATTCATATAATGAATAAAAACTACGTATTCTTACTATTCTCCACTCTACTCTCTCTTATTTTTCTAGCAAAATGTTTTATATCATGGGTGTGTTTCCTAGACACTCTTGGATTCAACTTCCTTTAAAGTGCGGTGAGAACGTGGAAACATGTCGTGAACAAGAAGAGGAGCTTAGCAACAACAACAGGGAGAATTTAATCAGAGGAACGTGGTAGAAGAAGCATGCACTAGGAAGTTCATGGAGGAATTCGTCTAACAATATTTGCAAGACTTGAGGATCCAAATCATCAACCAGATGTCAAGATTGTTCACGGAGGTGCTTAGAGTAGTCGCTGCCTTGGCAGCCGCTCCGGTTCTAGAAGAAGAACTAGCCCAACAAGAAGCATTCCAAAAAACTAGCCCAACAAGAAGCATTCCAAGAACTAGCCCAACAAGAAGCATTCCAAAAAAAAAAAAACTAGCCCAACAAAAAGCACTCAACTGTATAGAATGCCCCGAAGCCCACCGAACAAAGACATCAGAAGAGGTCGTCGCAAGACAACAGAAGACAGCCCAGACAAAGTATACAACTGATCACCCACCCGCGCTACGAAAAACATCCCAACAACAATTTTGCCTATCGTCATGAGGATCAGAGGGGACAGATGAAGGCCAACAACACCGCTTGTCCCATTACTACGAACATCCATGGTACAGCCATGCCCTCCCCCCCACAAAAAAGAAACCCCATTAAGAGTATCCATGGCAGAAATAATGGACGTCATTCAAGATAAGGAATTTTTTAGGAAGGCACCGTCGATGAGAGTCGGAGTATTTCTACGAGATTGCAAGAATTACTGCAAGTAACACGGAGACCACAGACACAATACAGAGGAATCTAGACACCTTCGGAGCCTAATTGAAAAATTGATAAAAGAGGGGAAGCTAAAAGAATTTGTCGACCATGGGGTCATGACCCAGAGGCAGAGCAAAGCTCCCATGGGGGGAACGACCGACGGACCTAGCAGCACAAACACCATCCACATTGTAGAATACGTGCCTGCCATATCTGAAGGAAGTGAACCACGCAGAAGAATGAACTGGAAGAGGAAATAAAAGGGGGAATTATGTGTCGCGAACTTCACCCCAAAACCCAGGGGCCACCCACTTATCTACTTCACCGATGAGGAACTATCGTCGAAGGGAAATCCCTACAATGATGCTATTGTGATAACAACAATGATTAATAATTACCACGTAGGTAGTGTTCTCATCAATACAGGGAGCTCAGTAAATGTGCTTTTCAAGCATGTTTTTGACAAACTAAGTCTTACTGCCGATCGAATGACTACGCCAGTCGGGTCACTATACGGTTTCTCAGGCGAAAGGAAGTGCTCGGGGTAAGCAGGCTTCTGGTAAGTTGGGGGGAAAAGGAGAAGCAATTTACTCTGACAAAGGATTTCCTTGTGGTGGATTCTCCCCCGACATATAACGCTATATTGGGTCGATTGCTCCTGAATGATTTCAAGGCAGTAGTCTCCACTTATCATGACACTGTCAAATTTCGTGAGGACGGAGAGATCATCACAGTCTGAGGTGATATGAGAAATCCCGAGTCTGCTAATTACAATCCATAAGCAACGTGGAGCACAATCCCCTGGACATCTAGAGCTAAAAGGACGGTGGCCTAAAGACCAACGAGGACACTCTCGAGGCCCCAGCTGTCGACAGAGAGCCGATTAAATTTTTACTGATAAGTGAAGCTTTTGATGCATGACATAGGGTGTTGTTGATCCGAACCCTACAAGAAAACCAGGTTGTCTACGCATGGACAACTGTTGATATGTCTGGAATATCGATCAATGCCACCTGTCATAGATTGAGTGTCAATCCCTCAGTTTGGCCTGTGAAGTAGAAGATCATAAGGTCGACCATGATGCTTGCAGGACCCATCCGAGAGAAGGTGCAAAAGTTGGAAAAAGTCAAAAATTTTTTAGAAGTGCAGTATCCTGCATGGGACTCCAATGTGGTGATGGTACATAAGACTAACAGAAAATGCAAGATGTGTGTGAGCTTCACCAACCTAACCTCAGCCTGCCAAAAGACGTGTTTCCGCTACCTAGAATTAATGCACTGCTGGATTAGGCAGTCGACCACTCAATCTTAAGCTTCCTCGACGCGTTCTCCAACTATTATCAAATCAGTATGCATCCCACAGATGCTGAAAAACTTCCTTTATTACTTGTGAAGGGGGTCTATTGTTATAATGCAATGTCTTTCAGGCTTAAGAATGCAGGGGCAACGTACCAACGCCACATGAATGTAATTTTTGTTAATCAAAAAGAAAGAAATGTTGCAGTGTATGATAATGTGTTAATTAAGAGTCTATTAGTCAAACAACACGTCCAGGTTTTAAAAGAAACCTTCCAAACACTTATAAAATTTTATATGAAATTAAACCAGTTGAAATGTATCTTTGGATCCACAGAGGCAAGTACTTGGGAAGGCATAAAAACTAATCCAGAAAAGATTCAAGCACACCTCAACATACTCGCTTCTAGAAACGCCAAGGAAATTCAAAGGCTGACTGATCGGGTCGCAGGGTTGAGCTGGTTCATCGCCAAGTCTGGAAATAAATGTGCTCCATTCGTCAAAGTACTCAGAAAAGCCCAATGTTTCGAATGGACACCCGAATGCAAGGAAGTCTTCAAAAACCTTAAATACTTCCTCGCCTCTCCTCCTCTCCTTCAGAGCCCAAAATCAAAGGAAAACTTTATCTTTACCTGGGAGTTGACCCCGAAGTCGTTAGTTTCGTCCTAGTCAGAGGAGAACTCGAAAAACAATACCTAGTATACTACACTAGTCGGATCCTTAAAAATGCTGAACTCGGATATCCTATAAAAGAGAAACTGACATTTGACTTGGTCATTTGATCACGAAGGTTGCAACTGTACTTCCAAATACATCCCATACATGTTATCACCGACCATCATTGAAGTCTGTTCTCACCCAACCGGAACACTCCGCTCAACTACTCAAATGGGTTGTGGAACTCAGCGAGTCTGCAATCTCCTACATTCCCCGGACGGCAATAAAGGCGCAAGTTATTGCAGATTTCATGGCAGACTTCTCCAAGCCACGAGCTGCAAAGAATTGGTGATTGACGCAGCCTCCTGGACCTTGTTCACGGATTAAGCCTCCAATCGATCGAGCGTTGGATTGGGAATTTTTCTGTGTAGTCTAATGGGGGAGAATATCTACCACTCAATTGAGGTAAATTTTCCACTAACTAACAACCAGGCAGAATATGAAGCTTTGATTGCAGGTCTTCACTTGGCCTCAGATATGGGGATCCTCTGCAAAATGTAAAGGCCGATTCAGAGCTGATGGTGAACCAAAACAATGAAAAGTTTGAAACAAGGGATAAGACGATGGCAAGGTACCAAGGAAAGGTAAAGACGGAGATCAATCGATTCGCTAGCTTCAAAATCGAGCATGTTCGGAGAGAAGAAAACCTGATCGCTGACCTCCTATCCCGAAGTCTCCATCTAGGTGAACGACAGCCTCAAAAATTCGGTCGACCCTCGATCGAGGAAACACTAGCAATGAAAATCCATAGCGAAGAAAGGAAGAAAAGTTGCATGAATCCTGTCCAATACCTAAACACAGGGGAGATCGACGAAGAGATTACCAACCACAGGAGATTCAAACTCAAAGCCGCTCAGTACCTACTAGTCGAGAGAAAACTCTTCAGAAAATCAACCACATCCTTGTACTAAAAGTGCATTGGAGACGATGAGGTTGAAGACATACTCTGGAAAGTTCAAGACGGGGAGTGTGGGAGTCATTCCGGAGGAAAGACGTTAGCTCACCGAATCCAACGAAGGGGGTAATTCTGGCCAAACCTGCTCAAAGATGTTGAGTACTCTTGAAGATGTACACAGTGTCAAAAGTACGAACCATTGCACCATCAACTAGCTCAAAAAACTTGACTCGATTGTCAGCCCTAGGCGTTCGCTATGTGAGGCCTCAACATCCTTGGACCAT